GCGTGGTACACTGCTGGCATGCGTACGTGCTTCGCGGGACACGCTGCTGGGCGTGTGACGCGTTGCGGTGTACGCAGGTGAACGGAGATGTGCGCTGCCGTGCGCGTTGGCGTGCACTGCGCACGTCCACACGCATAACTGCAGCATCGTGACGCTTGACTGCGGAGTACTAGGCACGCGTGCGCGTTACTGAGCGCGCGGACGCTGCCTGCGTACTCGCTGGGCCTGCCGGACGCGCCTGCGCGCACGCTGTGCGCGATAGGCATCACGATCGGCATTTTGCCGGCCGTCCGGCTACTTTTTCTGGCAATCCATACATGACTGATTATGTTTTGACTTAAAATGACGAAAAATACATAGATTACTCGGGACTTGCCGGTTTTATTTTGAAATCACTCGGAGGGAGCTTATTTAGCATCCCCGAGGCCATTTTCATGCAAAACCTAAACTAAACGACATGACTTTGACATGACCTCTCTGATATGAACTTAACTACATAAAAAGAGGGTAAATAAGTGTATACCCTTCAGTTCGGACGGTAGTTGCACAGTGGCTTGTGAGAGTTTGCACGGCGCGTACGGTGGTGTGCGTATACTTCCTTTATCCTCGGCTACCCTTAGGGATTTTTGTATTATTTTTCTCCAACGTTTCCTCACTATTTTTCACTCAGATTTTAGGCTGAAGTTTGGCTTGTTTTGTACGAAATTGCATGGGAAAAACTCATGCATTTTACCTTATTAAATAATGGAGACGGATGGAGGTGAATTTGGGGCCAAACACTTATTGGTCCACTTGCTTTTACCACACGAATTGGTGGCAATATGGCTGCATTGTCATCACCCTATGTGGCATGAAAAGCGCTAGGTGGCGTCCTATGCATGGGCTTAGTCACCACTTGTGGCTTCATGTGGTGCCATGTGTACCAAGCAAGTAGGTGACTCATGATCACCACTTGCACCCAACGTTTATCTTGGGTAAATTTCTCACGGCATCACTAAGGAGTTGGAAACTAGATTACTTAACTTGATCGTAGTGTTTAGCTTAGCGTAAGCTTATGACGGGCGATAGCTTAGCACCGTGCGTGTGTTACGTGCGGCAAAGTGCATTGTGCACGGCTGCACATGCGCGTAAACGTTCAGTCTCGCACAATGATGCATGACTTGCGTGCATAAATGATGTGCATGTCCGAGACTTAGCTTAATTTTGATTTGAACTTAATTCCGAACATTATTGACTATTAACAATTAATCGATTAATAAATATCCGTTTATAAAATAAACGGTTCGGAAATTAATTATCGAATTTTGACTCGGTTAATAATTAACCGGATAAACTTTTTGACTTAACATCGAACGTATTCGCTGAAATGAACGGAATTAATAAAAGATAATACATCATTTCACCAACAAGAAGTTGGGTTATTACATTATCAAAGTTCCAATTCGTGCCTTTTGCAACTCTTTCCTTATCATCTTTGCTTTGAAAGAGGAACTAAAAATAGTTGTGGCCTAATTCCTTACCTCCATGGGTAGAGATAATCGCCAAATGTTGCTCATTGCTCTCTTAATTCCTACCCAGCTGGCCTTTCGATCTCCTATGACTTTCCCAAAGAGGCTGCATTGGCAGATTTCTGCACTTGGTTTGATATCATCTTGGGCAATGTTAATGATAGGAACTTCACGTTCAAATAAAGAGAAGTTATGAAGACACTGAGAAAGCTCTTCATCTTGACCAATGCAAGAGTAGGAGACAAAAGAAATCCCCAAATTCAGGAACCCTAAAAACCCAAATTGCCTTAATATTGAATGAAAGCCCCCCGATCTCACGAAATTGAAAGGGAGAACAATGATAGAAAGGATAAGAATCTAAAGGGGAGTAGGGAAGGAAGATTAAAGCAACAAAACCAGATCAAATCGAAAGAGACGATGAAGAAAAGGGCCTCTCTCCACGAGAGAATAATTTCGCTCTCCACGAGAGAATTAATTATTTTTATTATTTTTTTAACGAATAAATGTTTCAAAACACCTAAATTAAAAATTAATAAAAAAAAGTGAATCAACAACACGAAAAACCTTTAGATCTACGGAAACGTATACATAATATCAACAAGATCTATTGATTTTGTTTATTTTTCGTAGATCGAAAATCAGTTTTTGCAATTGAAAATGCAAGCAATTTTTTCAGAAAATGAAGCGGTGGAGAGAGAAACGATAAGAGAGAGATAATCGCGAAGTGAAAATGGGCATGCCCTACTTTTTTGAAAAAAAAAATGACATTTATATTTCTCAAAAATAACTTGTAGCTGTTAGATCGGATATTATTAATCAGAATCGTTCGATCGTATGTTTAATCAAATTTGGGCCAAATATTTTATTTGTTATATGCAGGCCCGATTACAAACTTTCATTGTTGAAGTTATTTTTTATCCAATTGGGCTTTTAATTAGTCCAAACAATAGACAAAAGGTCCATTTAACTTGATGTATGGCCAAATGGAGACCGACTATTAATTTCGTTCTTCATGAATTTGGTTTTGACTTATGGAAATTAATAGGCCTTTGAAAGCCCCTCTCTTGCGAATGTTGAGTTGTGTAGGGTTGCCCTCGCATCATGCATTAACTTCGGTGTTTTCAGATGTCGGTGAATTTAAGTTAATATTGTTTTGAGGATATCAATATTTGCAGTTAATTCAAATGTGTTTAATCTGTAAAATAATTTTCGTGTTTCTAAGATATTCATCATGTCGTTCAATCTGGTATCTGTCATTCTAAAAGTAAATCAACTTACTGGCCCTAATTCCATTGATTGGAAGAGGAACTTAGACATTGTGTTGACTGCTGAGGGTTATAAGTTTGCGATTACTGAGGCTTGCCCGGCAGAGCCCGCGGCTGATGCTCCTGATCAGGAGAAAAGGGAGTATGCCCAGTACAAAAAGGCTGATGAGATGGCGAAGTGTTATATTTTGGCATTTATGTTAAATGTTCTTCAACATCAACATCAGTCTATGAACACTGCGGCAGACATACTTCTCAATCTCAGGAATCTGTTCAGACACCAGTCTAGGGCTGCTAGGCAAGAGGCTATGAGTGCTCTGATGACTACACGGATGGCAGAGGGCACACCCGTAAGGGACCATGCTCTCAAGGTTATGGTGCTGCAAAATGAACTTGAGGTTATGGGAGGTTTTATCAACGGGGAAAC